AGAGATGAGGTCTCGCCAAGTGGCCCAGGTGGGTCTCGAACCCGTGGGCTCAGGCAATCTACTCACCTCAGCCTCCCAAGGCGTGGGATTTCAGGTTGAGCCACCGAGCCTGGCTAGAACATTTACTTTCTCTGCATAAGTCCCCTTACGACCAATCCCCAGCCCCAGGCCCTCACAACCAGTGATCTCTTTTACGATCTCCTTTCTGTTTTTATTGTTTTTCCTTTTCTAGAATAGCATATAAATGGAATTTTGCAGTAGGTAGACTTTGAGTCTGTTTATTTTACATAGCACAATTATCTGAGATTTTCCAGGTTCTTAGGTATATCAGTAATTTTTCCCTTCCTATCGCTGAGTAGTATTCCATTGTACGGATACACCACAGTTTGTTTACTCACAAACCAGCTGACTGGTCATCTGTTTGCTTTATTTCTGGCCATTATGAATAAAACAGCTATAAGTATTCGAATACAGGTTTTTGTGTGAGGATAGGTTTTCATTTCTTTTGTGTAAATGCCGAGGAGTGGTGTTGTATTGCTGGATTGTCTGCTAAATGCATGTTTAACTTTATGAGAAACGGTCACACTGTTTTTCAAAACGATTGTGCCATTTTTTGTGTGCCCCAACAATGAACGAGAGTTGCTCGACTTCATCGTCAACATGTGGTATTGTCAGTCTTTTGGGTTTGTTTATTAACCATTCTAATAGAGGTCTAGCAGTGTGTTATTGTGTTTTTCGTTTTTTGTTTTTGTTTTTGTTTTAGTTGGATCTCACTCTGTCGCCCAGGCTGGAGTGCAGTGGCACATTTATGGCCACTGCAGCCTCGACCTGCTGGGCTCCGGCGATCCTTCCACCTCAGCCTTCCAAGTAGTGGGAACTACAGATGCACGCCACCACACCTGGCTAATTTTTTGATTTATTGTGGAGATGAGGTCTCGCCAAGTTGCCCAGGTTGGTCTCAAACCCCTGAGCTCAGGCAATCCTCCCAAAGTGCTGGGTTTATAGGCGTGAGCCATTGCACCCAGCCTATTGTGGTTTTAATGTGCATTTCCCTAATGATTAATGATGTTAAGCATCTTTTGGCATGCTTAATTGTCATCCTATGTTTTGTTTGGTGCAGTGTTTCCTAAAATCTTTTGTCCATGTTTTTATTGGATTGTTTGTATTCTTATTATAGGGTCATAAGTGTTCTTCAAAATTATGGATACAAATTCTTTATTATCAGATACTTTGTTTTGAAAATATTTTCTTCTGTCTGTGGCTTGTCTTTTCACTTTGTAAGAATGTTTTCTGAAAAGCAAAAGTTATTAATTTTGATAGAGCTCACTACTGTCAAAAAAATTAACCCTAAGCTAAACACTGTTCTGGTCTCAACTAAACAAGCTTAAAAGCAAGTTCTGAACGGAGCACGTATTTTTAATAAATTTAATTGCATGCCAGAAAAAACTTCAAGACTACTTATTAGAATACAAAAATATCTGGCACCAGATAAAATTCACACTGTCTGGCACTCACTTGTAAAATATTAGACAAGCAAAGAAAAATAAAAATTCAACTCATAATCAGGAGAAAAACCAGTCATCTAAAGTGGACCCAGAAATGACATAGCATGTAGAATTGATAGGTCACCATGGCTCACACCTGTAATCCCAGCACTTTGAGAGGTGGAGGCCAGAGGATTGCCTGAGCCCAAGGGTTCGAGACTAGTCTGGGCAATTTGGCGAGACTTCATCTCTACAATAAAATCACAAAATTAGCTGGTGTGGGGACACACACTTGTGGTTCCAGCTATTTGGAAGACTGAGGTGGAAGGATCGCCTGAGCCTCAACTGTGCCACTGCATTCCAGCCTGGATGACAGTGAGACTTCCACCAAAAAAAAAAAGTAAAACAATATTCCATATATTTCTTTTTTTTTTTTTGAGTTGGAGTTTCACTCTGTTGCCCAGACTGGAGTGCAGTGGCCACTCCCGGCCACCACAGCCTCGACCCACTGGGCTCCAGTGATACTTCCACTTCAGCCTTCCAAGTAGCCGGAATTACAGGCGTGCGCTACCACGCCCGGCTGCTTTTTGATGTATTGTAGAGATGAGGTCTCGCCAAGTTGCCCAGGTGGGTCTCGAACTCACGGGCTCAGGCAATCCACTCACCTCAGCCTCCCAAAGGCTCAGAATTACAGGCTGAGCCACTGAGCCCGGCTTCCATATATTTCTGAATGAAGAAAGATTATACCTGTTCAGCAGAGACATAGTAGATATAAAAAGTTAGCCAAATTGAACTTGTAGAGATGAAAATCCAATTATACTGGTTAGGGTGAGTAGCAGATTAAACAAAGAAGAAAAGGTTAATGAACTTGGAAGTACAGCAATAGGAGCCATCAAAAATGAACAGAGAAAAAAGACTAAATGAAAGGAACAGAGAATCAGTGAGCTGTAGAACCTCAGGTGATCAAATATACAGGTAATTGGAGTCCCCAAAGGAGAGAATGGAGGAAAAGGAGGAGAAAACAAATATTTAAAGAAATAATGGAGAAAAATGTTCCAAATCTGATAAAAATGATAAACCCAGAGGTCCCAGAATCCCAGTGAAACCCAAGCACATGACTCATAAAGAAAACTACTCAAGGCCCATTATAATCAAATTGGCTAAAGTCAGTGATTACAAGAAAATCTTAAAAGCATCCAGAGAAAAAAGATACATTCATTTAGCAGACTTCTTACGTCAAAAGATAGTGAGACATTTTTAAAGAGGCCAAGGCGGGAGGATTGCTCGAGCCCAAGAGTTCAAGGCAGCAGTGAGATAGGATTTTTCCACTGCACTCCAGCCTGGGTAACAGATGGAGACCTAATCTCTAATCCCCCTCCCCCACCAAAAGAAAAAAAAAAACTGGACATGGTGGTTCATACCTGTAGTCAAGGATTGCTTGAGTCCAATAGGATGAGGCCGCTGTCAAGCATGGTTGTGGCACTGTATTCTAGAATGGGCAACAAAGTGAGATCTGTTCTCTAAAAAATATAAATAAATAAAATAAAATAATGAGAAAGCTAGCCAGGAGTGGTCATGTACCTGTACTAGCTATTCAGGAGGCTGAGGTAAGAGGACTGATTGAGTCCAGAAGTTCGATCGAGTCTGCAATGAGCTATGATCATGCCACTGTACTCCAGCCTGGGCAACAGAACAAGACCTCATCTCTGAAAACAAAACAAAACAAAATAGAAACAAAACCTGAAGGAAAAAAATAACATGAATGTAGAATTTTACAGCCAAAGAAAATGATCTTTCAAAAATGAAGAGGAAACAAATACTTTTTCAGATGTACAAAAACTTTAAAAATGATCACTACCAGACTGGCACAGTTAGGATATGTTAAAGAAAGTTCCTCAGGCAGAGGGGAAATAATGCAAGATGAAAATCTGGGTTTATACAAAAGAATGCAAAATACAGGAAATGGCAACAATTTGAGTAAATATAGACCTTTTTCCCTGACTGTTTAAATCCCTTTAAAAGTTAATGAGCTGGCCGGACACTGTGGCTCAGTCTGTAATCCCAGCACTTTGGGAGGCCGAGGGGAGTGGATTGCCTGAGCCCGCAGGTTTGAGACCAGCCCAGGCAACTTGGCGAGACCTCGTCTCTACAATAAATAGAAAACTAGCCAGGCATGGTAGTACGCGCCTGCAGTTCCAGCTACTTGGAAGGCTGAGGCGGAAGGATTGCCAGAACCCAACAGGTCGACGCTGGGGTGGCCATGAGTGTGCCACTGTACTCCAGTCTGGGCGACAGAGTGAGACTGCAACTCAAAAAAAAAAAAGTCAATGAGCTGTTTAAGACAAGAATAATAATAATATGAATCATGTGCAATTAATAACATGTAAAAGTACAACATGAATCAACTATAGTACAATGTCTTAAAGGGATGGAATAGAAATATGCTATGGTAAGATTCTAATATTGCTTTTTTTTTTTTTTTGAGTTGGAGTCTCACTCTGTCGGCCAGGCTGGAGTGCAGTGGCACACTCATGACGACTCCAGCATCAGCCTGCTGGGCTCAGGCAATCCTTTTGCCTCAGCCTTCCAAGTAGCCAGAACTATAGGCGCATGCTACCATGCCCGGCTAATTATTTATTTATTGTAGAGACGAGGTCTCACCAAGTTGCCTGGATTGGTCTCGAACCCACGGGCGCAGGCAATCCTCTAACCTTGGTTTCCCCAAGTGCTGAGATTACAGGCTGAGCCACCGAGCCCGGCCTGATATTGCACGTTCTAATATTGCACATGAAGTAGTTGAACATCACTTAAAGGTAGACTGTGTTCAGGTAAGGATACGATAAAACGTAAAGTAGGTTTTGTGGGGTCGGCCGGGCCGTGGGAGCCGAACCACAGCATTCGCCGGGCGGCCGGCCTCCCACACCCGCAGATCCCCCGGCCGCGCCATGTCGGTGAACATGGAAGAGCTGCAGCACCAGGTCGTGATCAGCCAGTTCGTTCTGGCCGCGGGCTGCGCGGCCGACCAGGCGGAGCAGCTGCTACCGGCGGCCCACTGGCAGTTCGAGACCGCCCTGAGCACGTTTTTCCAAGAAACCAACATTCCCAACAGTCAACCCCCCATGATGTGCACTCCCAGCAACAACCCTATGAAGGCCGTGGCCTGCTTCCCCCTGCAAACTTCAGCCCCTTCTGGGCCTCGTCCCCCCCAAGTCACCAGGCGCCCTGGATCCCGCCCTCCTCCCCCACCACCTTCCACCGCCTCCACCACCCACAGCCCATGTTTTTGGGTCCTTCAGGAGTTTCTCTTCAGGCAAGTTTTTCTCTTTTTAATATATAACTATAATATATACGAGTATATAAATATAACTAGTGTATGCAAGAATGGGGCTGGCACGGCTTCCTCTGCCCCAGTCTTGAGGGGCAGGGGTGTGCTTCAAAACCAGATGGGACGTCCTTGCAGGCAAGAGGTGACTGTCAGCGGCCTCCTTCCTGTCCCAGCTTCTGGAACCGGGAAGAGGACCGCAACTGCTGTAGTCCTGGGAGCAGCTGAATAGCAGCTGCGCGAGGAGTTCTACAAGGACCCCGAGGCCCTCTTGGCATCCCTAGGCTCCTCTCATCTCCTCTTCCCCACCCCTGATCGCCAGTTGTGGCCCCCAGAGCTCTTGTCACCCTGCCTGTCGTCGCCGGTCTCCGGCTCGGTTGTGCAGGACTGGCATGGCGACTGAAGAGGTGCCTTGAGTCAAAGACTGGGTTCTGCCTGGCAGGGAGCTGACTGTCTCTCGGGCACCCTCCCTCTCCCACCGGACGGAGTGGAGAGCCTGCCTTTGGGTTTGGATCCCAAATCCAGAGTCCCATCTCACCAGAGCGAAATTTTAATGTAAAAACTTAAAAAGAGACTTTTCTAAAAAAAAAAAAGCAAAGCAAATACTAAAATAACAAAGCAAGGCAATGTAGCTAATAAGCCAATTAAGGAAATGAGCAGAATCATTTCTAAAAAGCTCAGTTATTCCCAAAGGAGGTAGAAAAAGAGAAGACGAGAATAAAAAACAGATGGGAGGAATAGACAACAAAGAAGATAGTAGATCTAAACCTAATTGTGTCAATAGCGTTATTCAATTTAAATATCACAATGAAAAGGCAGAAGTTGTCAGATTTGGCTATTAAAAAAAAAAACAAGACCCAACTATATGCCACATATACATGAAACCAATCTTGGGTATGAAGACACAAATAGATTAAAAGTAAATAGATGGGAAAAAATATATCCTATGCAGGCCATGCGCAGTGGCTCATGTCTGTAATCCCAGCACTTTGGGAGGTCAAGGCAAGAGGATTGCTTTAGCCCAGGAGTTTAAGACCAGCCTGAGCAACATGGCGAGACCTTGTCTCTACAATAAGTCAAAAAATTAATCAGGCACAGTGGTGCACACCTATAGTCCTAGCTGCTTGGGAGGTTGAAGTGGGAGGACCGCTTGAGCTCAGGAGTTTGAGGTACAGTGAGCTGGGATTGTGCCACTGCACTCCAGCCTGGGTAACAGAGTGAGACTGTTGATATATATATATATATATTTCTCCAAATATTGGGAAACTAAGTAACACATTTATTTTATTTTATTTCTTTGAGTCGGAGTCTTACTCTGTCGCCCAGACTGGAGTGCAGTGGTATGTTTGTGGCCACTGCAGCCTCTGCCTGCTAGTCTCAGGAGATCCTTCCACCTCAGCCTTCCAAGTAGCTGGAACTACAGGTGTGTACCACTACACCCAGCTTGATTTTTTGATTTATCATAGAGACGAGCAAGGTCTCACCAAGTTGTTGAGGCTGGTCTCAAATTTCTGGGCTCAGGCAATCCTCTCGACTCAGCCTCCTAAAGTGCTGGGATTGTAGGTATGCGTCACCACGCCTGGCTTAAATAATATATTTTAAATTAACCCCGGGTCAAAGGAAAAAAAGATGAATTTAAATATATTTGACTAAATGAAAATGCAATACACCAGAATTTGTGGGGTGCTACTAAAGCAATATAATATTAAATTTTAATTATTTATTAGATATTACATAATTGTTTAATTATTAATTTTAGAAGTAAGTTATACTGCTGCAAGCTATATTAGCAAATAATAAAGATCTCAAATCAATGGGATATAATTCAGCTATATGAAACAGGAGAAAAAAAGCAAATTCAACCCCATGTAAGTTGGGTGTGGTGGGGCTTGCCCACCTGATGTCCAAGTGACTCGTGAGACTGAGGTGGGAGAATCATTTGAGCCCAGGAGTTCAGGTTTAGATAGGGCAACAAAGTGAGACCTTGTTTCTGGAAAAACAAAACACAAAACACTATATAAGCAAATGAGAGGAAATATAGTAATAAGGATCAGAGTGAAAATCGATGAGAAAGAAAAAAAACAGAGAAAACCAAATGCAACCAAAAACAATAAACATGATGACTCAGTCTGCCATCCCAGCTTTTTGGGAGGCTGAGGTGAGTGGATTGCCTGAGCCCATGGGTTCGAGACCAGCCCAGGCAAGTTGGCGAGACCTCGTCTCTACAATAAGTAAAAAATTAGCTGGGCATGGTAGCCTGTGTCTATAGTTCTGGCTACTTGGAAGACTGAGGTACAAGGATCGCTTAGAGCCCCACTGGGCATGGTAGCATGTGTCTGTAGCTCTGGCTACTTGGAAGGTTAGGGTGGAAGGATCGCCGGAGCCCAGCAGATCAAGGCTGTGGTGGCCATGAGCATGCCACTGCACTCCAGTCTGGGCAAAAGAGTGACTCCAACTCAAAAAATAAAAAATAATGAAATAAATAAATAAAATGCTAATTTGAAAACATCATTAACAACTTTATGCTGATACTTTGACAACTTTGATTAAATATATATACATATTTTGGTCTTATTCTGTCACACAGGATGGAGTGCAGTGGTGCAATTATAGCTCACTTGTAATCTTAACCTTCTGGGCTCAAGCAATCCTCCTGCTTCAGCCTCCCAAGTAGCTGGGACTACAGGCGTGAGCCACCATAGCCAGCCAATTCAATAGAATAATTTTTTGAAAGACTCATACTACCAAAGCTCATTTAAGTAAAATTGATAACCTAAATAATGTTATAATAAAGAAATTCAACTTGTAGTTAAAAATATTCCCACAGTGAAAACTACTGGAACAGATGGCTTCACTGGGGAATCCACTAAATATTTGAAGAAGTCATAAAACCAATTCTACACAAACTCTTCCAGAAAATTGAAGACAAGGTAACATTCTTCAACTCATTCTATGAAGCCAGCTTTAGTTGAATACTGATACCAGACACAGATTAAAAGAAAACTATAGATCAATAACTTCTGTGAATGTAAATGCAAAAATTCTTAGTCATATTTTAACAAATTGAATTCAATGATGTATTTAATAAAAGGCTAATACAATATGTCCAACTGGTGTCTATTTCAGGAATGCAAGGTTGGTTAACATTTGAAAATCAATCACCAGGCTGGGCACAGTAGTTCATGCCTGTAATCCCAGCACTTTTGGAGACAGAGGTGAGAGGATTGCCTGAGCTCAGAGTTTCGAGACCAGCCTTGTCAACTTGGCAAGACCTTGTCTCTACAATTAATTTTTAAAAATAGCCGGGTGTGGTGGGGTGCACCTGTGGTTCCAGCTACTTGGAAGGCTGAGGCGGAAGGATCACCTGAGCCCACCATGTTGAGGCTGTGATGGCCGAGAGCATGCCACTGTATTCCAGCCTGGGTGATAGAGTGAGACTCCTACTAAAAAAATAAAATAAAATAAAATAAGAAAAGAAAATCAATTACCATATTCATAGACTAAAAATAAGTACCACTAAAAAAAGATAGAACAAAAACAAATCTATATGATCATCTCAATAGTTAGAAAAAATTTGACAAAATTCAACATCCATTACTTATAAAACCTCTTAGCAAACTAGGAATTAAAGTGATCTTCCTGTGGTCAGTGACAGAAAAAGTAAAAAAAAAAATGGTGACATGGTGGCTCACTTCTATAATCTCAATTATTTGGGAGGCCAAGATGGGAGGATTGCTTGAAGCCATAAGATGGAGATCATCCTGGGCAAGATAGCAAGAGCTCATCGCTACAAACAAATAAAGAAATAAAAATTAACCCAGGTGTGGTGGCACACACAAGTAGTCCTAGCTTCTCAGGAGGCTAAGGCTGGAGGATGGCGTGAGTCCAGGAGTTCAAGGTTACAGTGAGCTATGATCATGCCACTGCACTCCAGCCTGGGTGACAGAGCAAGACCCTCTCTCTAAAAATAAACACAATCAATCTTTAAAATTAAATTTTTTTTAAAAAAATCACTGATTCTCCTCAAACTATTGAAGGGTACCTATGAGAAACCCAATAGCTAACATCATACTTAATGATAAAAGAGTAAAGAAAAAAGATCAGGAACAAGGCAAGGATGTCCATTGTCACAACTATTATTTAACAACGTCCTGGGGATTCTAGTTAACATGTTAATCCAAGAAAAAGAAGTGAAAGTCATCCAAATCAGAAAGGAAGATGTAACATTGTCTCTATTTGCTGACAGCATGATATTCTATGTAGAAAATTCTTTTTTTTTTTTTTTTTTGAGTTAGAGTCTCACTCGGTCGCCCAGACTGGAATGCAGTGGTCGCTCCCGGCCACCGCAGCCTCGACTTTCTGGTCTCCAGTGAGCCTTCTGCCTCAGTCTTCCGAGTAGCCGGAATTACAGGCATGCGCTACCACGCCCGGCTGATTTTTTGGTTTATTGTAGAGATGAGATCTCACTGCCCAGGTGGGTCTCGAATCCACGGGCTCAGGCAATCCACTCACCTCAGCTTCCCAAAGGCGCGGGATTACAGGCTGAGCCACCAAGACCGGCTGGTAGAAAATTCTTTAGGACCTATAAAAATTTGACTCCAGATGGACACTGGAGACTCAGAAGGGGAGGGATCAAAAATCACCTATCAGATACAATGTGCACAGGTGAGAGTAGTGGGTACACTTAAAGCCCAGACCAAAACTATTAGCACCCTCCTAAACTACAGAAATTAAACAATCAAAAAATATATATAAAAATTTAAAAATTGACTACAACTAATAATGAGTTCCATAAGTTTTCAGGATGTAATATCAATGTGAAAAAAATCAACTGTCTTTCCATAGCCTAACAACTAACGATCAGAAATTGAAGGGAAAATATCAAAATAGCATTAAAAATATGAAACAGGGATAAAGGCGAGCAAGATTCACACTGAAAACTATGAAACATTGCTAAGAGAAAATTAAATAAGACCTAAGTTAAAGGAATGATATACCATATTTATGTATTAGAAAAGTCACTATTGATAAAATGTCAGTTTTACCCTAATTGATCTAGTGAGTCAGCAGAATCCCTGTTAAAATTCTGGTAGATTCTTTTTGCCGAAATTGACAAGACGATTCTAACATTCATATAGAAATTCAAGAGAACTAGAACACCCAAAGCAACTTTGAAAAAAAAGAACAAAGTTGGAAAATTCATAATACTTGATATCAAGGCTTACTATAAAGCAACAGTAATCAAGACAATGTGCAATTGGCATTAAGATAGACAAAAAAATTAATGGAACAGCGTAGCAATTCCAGAAACGGACCAGAAATATATGGTCAGTTTTTTTCTGACAAAGGTAAAAGGTAATTCGGTGGAGAAATCATGGTCTTTCAACAAATAGTACTGGAACAATTGGATATTCATATGCAAATGTACTTATATGCAAAACTTTGATTCCTAAGTCATACCATATGAAAAGTTAACTCAAAATGGATCATAGACTAAACTGTAAATGCAAAACTAAATGTAAAACCTAAAACTAACTTCCAGGAGAAAATCTTTCTGACTTTAGACTGGTTGAAGACTTTTTTTATATACAAATCCAAAAGCATGATGTATAAAAGAAAAATTGATAAATTGGATATCTTCAAGATTAAACATTTCTGGTCTTCAAAAAAAAAGTTTCAAGCCACAGACTGCCAGAAAATATTTGTTAATTACATATCTGAAAAGACTTGTATTCAGAATACATACATTTTAAAAACTCTCAATAATAAAGGGTGCAAAAGTTTCACTTAGGAGGAATAAGTTCTGGAGATCTATTGTACAGTATGGTGACTATAATTAATAATAATGCTGGCCAGGAATGGTGGCTCATACCTGTAATTCCAACACTTTGGGAGGTAGAGGTGAGAGATTGCCTGAACCTGCAAGTTCGAGACCAGCCTGGGCAACTTGATGAGACCTCATCTCTAAAATAAATCAAAAAATTAGCCAGATGTGGTGGCACGTTCCTGTAGTTCCAGCTACTTGAAAGGCTGAGGTGTAAGGATCATCTGAGCCCAGCAGGTGGGGTCTGTGGTAGCTGTGAGTGTGCCACTACACTCCAGCCTGGGTGACAGAGTAAGACTTTGAATCAAATAATAATAATAGCAATAATAATAATAATGAGTTGTTGATATAGTTTTTTTCCTCCAAATCTCATGGTCAATTTTGATCCCCAGTGTTGGAAGTGGGGCCTAGTAGGAGGTCTTTGGGTCATGGGGTAGATCCCTAATGCACTGCTTGGTGCCATCCTCTTAGAAATGAGTTCTTACTCTATGACGTCCCACAAGCTCCGATTGTTTGTATATATATATAAAGAGCCTGGCACCTCCATCCTTTCTTTTCCTTTCTCTCTTGTCATGTGATGCCTGCTGTCATGAGTGGAAGCTTCCTGAGACCTCACCAGAAGCAGATGCCGGCACCATGCATCTTGTACAGTCTGCAGAACCATGAGCCACATAAACCTCTGTTCTATGTAAATTACTAGCCTCAGGTATTTCCTTCATAGCAGTGCAAAACGGACTAAGACTGAAAAGTGGTACCAGGAGTTGGGTGAGGGCCATTAGAGTGGGAGAGGCCAAATGGATTCTGTTAGAATGGTCTCTCTTTAAAGAGGAAAACAGTAAGTCAGAAATGATCTCACATACTGGGAGGGATTGTAGAGATGAGAGCCGTCACCAAGGACTTGACAAATGCAGAGATGGTGATTCCCACCCCATCCTCATTCAGCTCTCCTATTTGGCCTCTGCAGAAGACAAAAAAGACCTTGCAGAAGGACAGCAGACTATTGTAAGCTTAACCAAGTGGTAAGTCCAGTTGTTGCAGCTGTTGTGCCAGGGGTGTGTGTGTGTGTGTGTGTGTTTTGAGTCAGGGTCTCACTCTGTCACACAGGCTGGAGTGCAGTGGTACAATCATGGCTCACCACAGTCTTGACTTCTTGGACTCAAGCAAGCTTCCTCCTTTAGCCTCCCAGGTAGCTGAGACTACAGGTACACACCACCACCTTATAGAGATGAGGTCTTGCTATGTTGCCAAGGCTGGGGTTGAACTCCCGGGCTCAAGCAATTTTCTTGCCTTGGCTTTGCAAAGTACTGAGATTACAGGCATGAGCCACCATATCTGGCCACCAGATGTGGTTTCATTGCTTATGCAAATTAACACATCTCCTGGTGACTGGTGTGTAGCTATTGATGTGGCAAATGCCTTTTCCTCCATTCCTGTTCATAAGGCCCACCCAAAACTGCTCACTTTCAGCTGGCAGGGCCAGAAACGTACCTTCACTGTTTTACCTCAGGGTTGTGTTAACTCTCCAGCCCTATGTCATAGTCTAGTTTGCAGGGATTTTGATTGCTTTTTGCTTCCCCAAGATATCACACGAGCTCATTACACTGATGACGTTATGCTGATTGGACCTAGTGAGTGAGAGGTAACAGCTACTCTTATTGGTAAGATGTTTGTATATCAGAGGATGGGAAATAAATCCCACTAAAGTGTAGGGGCCTTCTATCTCCGTGAGACTTCTAGAGGTCTAGAGGTGTAGGGCCTGTCGAGATATCCTCTTCTTTTTTTGAGGCAGGGTCTCACTCTGTCACCCAGGCTGGAGGGCTGTGGCATGCTCATGGCTTACTGCAGTCTCGACTTCCTGGGCTCTAGTGATCCTCCTGTCTCAGCCTCCCAAGTAGCTGGGACTACAGGCACACACCATCACCATGCCCAGCTAATTTTTTGTAGAGACGAGGTCTCGCTATGTTGAACTGATGTTGAACTCCAGGGCTCAAGAAATCCTCCTACCTCAGACTCCCAAAGTGCTGGGATTACAGGTGTGGGCCATTTCTCCTGGCCTAAGAGTTTTGAAAAAGATGAAGAAAGCTGAACTATAACTGGAGGCTGAGAAAGCTGAGAAGAAGCCTGCTTCTCTCTGCAGGACCCCAAAAGTGTGTGAACGGCAGGCTCCATCCCCAGAGCACAAATAGCAGGTAAGAGAGATAAGACTTCTTCTGGAGAATCTGACCAGTCTGTGAGAGAAGATCTAGAAAAACTTACAGTGGAGACTGTGCACCAGGCCACACCATGTGTACAGAGCTTGAGACGGACACTTCAGTGCTTCATTCTTCTCTGTGAGCAGGTTGTCAGTCATTTGGGAAAAACATCCAAGGAACAGGGGAACAGAAAGTGAAGGGGAGAGAAAGAATGAAGAATTAAAGAAAAACAAAGCTTCAGACAGAAGGATATGAATTTCTAGATTGAACAGGTCCACCGAGTACCCAGCACCATGGACGAAGATAGACTCTCAACAAGGCACATACTTTAAAAAATTTTAGTGCACTGGTTACAAAGAAAAGGTTCTACAAGCATCCGTAAAGAAAAAAGAATGACTTGTATACAAATAATTGGTTCCTTAGTTGAACTAGCCTCATTTCAAAAACGTAATAGCCTTCTGCCCAAAAGGACGGAGGTTGTTACATAAAAAAGGCACCTGCACTGACATGTTCATTGCAGTACAATTTACAGTTGCAAAGATGTGGGACCAACCTGAATGCTCACTGACTGATCAGTGGAAAATGGAAATATGGTATATGTATGTTATGGAATACTACGGAACCTTCAGAAAGAAATACTGTCTTTTGCAGCAACTTGGATGGAACTGGAGACCATCATCCAAAGTGAACTAACGCAGGAACAGAAAGCCAAACACCGCATGTTCTCACTTATAAGTGGAAGCTAAACTAGGGGTCTGCAAAGGCAGAAAGATGGTATCATGGACACGGGCGATTCAGAAGGGGAAGGAGTGGAGGGACAGAAAATCACATGCTGGGTAACGTGTGCACAGGTGCAGGTGGTGGGTACACTTAAAGCCCAGACTTCTTCACCATCATCCAATGCAACCATGTAACCAAAAACTATTTGTACCCCCAAAGCTATTGAAATAAAGAAAAAAAAAAAAGCTTAATTGTCACATGGAAGCTGGGCTCGGTGGCTCAGCCTGTAATCCCGCGCCTTTAGGAGGCTGAGGTGAGTGGATTGCCTGAGCCCGCGGGTTCGAGACCCGCCTGGGCAGCGAGACCTCATCTCTACAATAAATCAAAAATTAGCTGGGCATGGTAGCGTACACCTGTAGTTCCAGCTGCTTGGAAGGCTGAGGTGGAAGGATCGCCGGAGCCCGGCACGTCGAGGCTGCTGCACTCCAGTCTGGGCGACAGAGTGAGACTCCAACTCAAAAAAAAAAAAAAATAGTCACATGTAGCTAGTGACTGCCATAATGAAAACAGATGTTAAATATATTCATCACTACAGGTGTTTTTATTGGACAGCCCTGCTCCAAGTATCTCTGCTCTTGGTTTCAAGTAGACCTGTCTTTCATGAAATTGAATTTCCTGCAGACTTTCATGTTGGCCAATTTTCCCTGGTTCCATTTTGTTTTGTTGTACGATAAATCCATATTTCATTTTTAAGGTATGTGTGTATGACCTTCATCCTTTTTCTGTTGTTTTACAGTTGTTTTTTCAGCAGCGATGTTTGGGACTATTACAAACCAGGATCTGCCTATGATCAAATGTGTTTTAATCAATCATAAGAACAATGCTTCCTCAGCAGGGAAACCATCATTCTATTTGAAGGTAAAGTAACATTCAACTTGTACCGTTAGCTACTTTTCTCTAGAGATCATACTTTGTAAGCTATTGAAATCTACCATGGCTAAATGGGCTTCCTTTTATATATTTAAGTGTATCATTTACTCCTATGTGGTGCACATAATATCTGTACTCATGGCTACCTGGCACTTCATGCCGTCAAGAACAGTGCTCTTCTTGGGGTGTGGATTCAGGAAGGACACGGACTGATACCCAGCAGGAAGAAATAATCAGTACAGTCATCCCTGGGTATCCATGGGGGAATTTTTTCCGAGACACCCCATATGCCTTAGTATTTGCATATGACCTGTGCATTCTCCCGTTTACATCTTTATTTTAGCTAGGAGTACGCGTGTGCCACCACGCCCAGCTACTTATTTATTTATTTATTAACAATATGTTTTATTGATCTCATTATCGTCTGCCTCTTTTTATTTGAAAGTATGCTTCTTGAGAGCAGGAGTTTTCTTTTCTTTTCTTTTTTGAGTTGGAGTCTCACTCTGATGCCCAGACTGGAGTGCAGTGGCATGCTCACGGTCACCGCAGCCTCAACCTGCTGGGTTCCAGCGATCCTTCTGCCTCAGCCTTTCAAGTAGCTGGAACTACAGGTGTGCGCTACCACGCCTGGCTAATTTTTGATTTATTGTAGAGATGAGGTCTTGCCAACTTGCTCAGGCTGGTCTTGAATCCTCGGACTCAGACAACCCACTCGCCTCGGCCTCCCAAAGTGCTGGGATTACAGGCTGAGCCACTGAGCCCGGCCTTCTTTTTACTTTTTTGTAGAGGTGAGATCTTGCTATGTTGCCCAGTCTGGTCTCGAATTCCTGGGCTCAAGCAATCCTTCTGCCTTGGCCTCCCAAATTGCTGGGATTACAGGTGTGAGTCACTGCACCCGACCTTTAATCAAATACTTTAAATCATCTCTAGATTACTTATGATAGCTAATGCAATGTAAATGCTATGTCAATAATTGTTTTATTCTATTGTTTAGGGAATAGTAGCAAGGAAAAAAGTCTGTACGTGTTCAGTTCAGATGCAACCATCTATTTTTTTTTCCTGAATAGTTTCAATATGTGGTTCTTTGAATCCAGGAATGTGGAACCCATGGACGTGGAGAGCCAAGTGTATTTTCTCCTTAAAGAGATTCCAGGCTTCTATCCTGAATCTGAATCTCTCATTTCCAATCACCCCCAGTATATAAATAGATTTTCCACGTACCCGTTAAAATCCACCCATATAATTTGCTTTATTTTGATTTCCCCAAACTTGTTCTTATCCTTGTATTAATTGATTTCTGTTTTGTGTTTGTTTTTATTTTGAGTCAGATTCTCACTGTTGCCAAGGCTGGAGTAAAGTGACCCGATCATGGCTCACCATAGCCTTGACCTCCTGGGATCAGGTGATCCTTCCAACTCAGCCTCCCCAGTAGCTGGGACTAGAGGCATGTGCCACCATACCTGGCTGGTTTTTTTTTTTTTTTTTTTTTTTGAGTCAAAGTCTCACTCTGTCACCCAGGCTGGAATGCAGTGGCACTCTCATGGCCACCGTAGCCTCGACCTGCTGGGCGATCCTTCCGCCTCAGCTTTCCAAACTGGAACCACAGGCACGTGCCACCATGCTCGGCGCATTTTTCTTGACTTACTGTAGAGCTAAGTTCTTACCATGTTGCTCAGGCTGGCCTTGAACCTGTGGGCTCAGGCAATCCTCTCACCTCAGCCTCCCAAAGTGCTGGGATTATAGGTGTGAGTCCCTGCGCCTGGCCGCCTGGCTGATTTTTAAAATCGTTTTGTATGGATGAGATCTCACTGTGTTGCCCAGACTAGATTTGAACTCCTGGGCCCAAGCAATCCTCCTGCTTCAGCCCCCCAAAGGATTGGGATGACAAGCATGAGCTACCACGCACGACCTAATTTCTGTTTAACTTCTGTCTGGTTCCCGGGCTTGAAAGCTCAGCGTCATTTGACTTATTTTTGTCCCTCACTTTCACATTTGGTCAGTTACCAAGTCGTGTCAATTCCCTTTAATAGTTCTCATTTAATCGCCTCGTTCCCTAGTCTCGCCGCCGCTTCCCTAATTCAAGCCCTCAGGAACTCCCTCATGATCCCTCATAGTAATATCTTCAGTGGCCTCTTCCTGCTACAGTTCATCTCTGATGTGGCTGTTCGATCAGCCTTCCCAGAGGACAGCACATCCTCTACTGCCTTGCCCTGTCACCTAGGCTGAAGTGCAGTGGCATGATCATAGTTCTTTGCAGCCTTGAACTCTTTGCAGCCTTGAGCTCCTGGTCTCAAGTGATCCTCCTGCTTCAGCCCCCTGAGTTGCTGGGACTACAGGCACATGCCACCACACCTGGCTAACTAAAAATTTTTTTGTAGAGATGGGATCTTACTATGTTGCCCAGGCTGATCTTGAACACCTGTCCTCAAGAAATCCTTCTGCCTCAGTCTCCTGAGTTGCTAAGATTACAGGCACATACCACCATACCTGGTTAATTTTTTTTTTCGAATAAGAGTCTCACTCTCTTGCCCAGGCTGGAGTACAGTGGCACAGTCACAGCCTCTGCAGCCTCTACCTGCTGGGTTCAAGCAATCCTTCTGCCTCAGCCTTCCAACTAGCTGGAACCACAGGCTCATACCACCACACCCAGCTAATTTTTTTTTTTTTCAGTAGGAATCTCACTCTGTTGCCCAGACAGGAGAGCAGTGGTACACTCATGGCCACCTCAGTGTCGACCTGTTGGGCTCTGGCGATTCTTCTGCCTCAGTCTTCCAAGTAGCCAGAACTATAAACACGCACTACCATATCTGGCTAATTTTTTATTTATTGTAGAGACGAGGTCTTGCCAAGTGGCCCAGGCTAGTCTCGAACCTGCGGGCTCAGGCAGTTCACTCATCTGAGCCTCCCAAAGTGCTGGGATTACAGGCTGAGCCACTGAGCCTGGTCCCAGCTAGTGAAAAAAAAATGTACTGTAGAGAAAAGGTCTCACCAAGTTGCCCAGGCTGGTCTCAAACCTCTGGAGTCAGGCAATCCTCTGGCCTCTCCCTCCCAGAGTGCTGGGATTACAGGCATGGGTCACCACGCCCGGCTTAAGTTGTTCTTGAACTCCTGGCCTCAAGGGATCCTCTTGCCTCATCCTCCTGAGTAGCTGGGACTACAGATGCATGCCACCACACCCAGCTAATTTTTTTTATTTTAAAATATTTTTTGTAGAGATGGTATTCCACTATGTTGCCCAGGCAGGTATCAAACTCCTGGCCTCAAGTGATCCTTCCACCTTGGCCTGCCAAAGCACTAGGATTGCAGCCATGAACCACCCTACCTGGCCTATTTTTAAATATACTATAAGTTATATTTTTATGCAATAATCAGGATTGTATTAAGACCCGATAGTTCTTTTTTTAAACTTTAACTTTATTTTTCTTTTTTAGAGACAGCATCTCGTTATGCTGCCCAGGCTAGTCTCAAACTAAAACCTAAAACAAATAAATAATCATATAAATCCCCACTGCTGCAGCGCTTTCATCTTACTGAAGCTGAGGCTGCTCCTTTTGTGTGTTTTTCCAATTCAATGTGAAATAGATTGTAAGGATTTTAGTGACTTAAAAAAAAAAAACAGAAGGTTTTTATTTCTTCCACAGTTCACAGTTCTCAAATGAGACATCTTTCTGGAAATACTACAGTCTAGGGATTTATTTTTTTTTCTGAGTCACTGTCTCACTCTGTCACCCATGCTGAAGTACAGTGGCACGATTCCTGCTCACCAAAGCCTCAACCTCCTGGGTTCAGGCGATCCTCCCACCTCAGCCTCCCAGGTAGCTAGGAATACTGGCGAGTGCCACCATACCCATCTAGTTTTTAATTTTTTGTAGAGATGAGGTTTCATGTTGTTGACCAGGCTGGTCTTGAACTCCTGGCTCAAGCGATTCTCTTGCCTCGGCCTCCCAAGGTGCTGGAATTATAGGCGTAAGCCACCACACCCAGTAGCTTTTAAAATTTTCTGACAGAGATAACTATTTACCACTGCTCTTCAGATTCTTATCTATATACCAGTAATCATAAACTTATTGACCTATGTCTTATGAATTTTATAATTATGGTCTGTGCATTAGTTTTCCAGAGTTTATGTAACAAAGGACCACAGACTGGGTGATTGAAATCAACAGAAATTTATTGTCTCCCAATTCTGGAGGCTGGAGGGAGGGTGTTGGGAGAGTTTGTCTCTTCCTTTTTTTTTTTTTTTTTGAGTCATAGTCTCACTTGGTTGCCCAGGCTGGAGTGCAGTGGCATGCACGCTCACGGCCACCGCAGCCTCGACCTGCTGGGCTCTGGTGATCCTTCCGTCTCAGCCTTCCAAGTTGCCAGAACTACAGGTGCACCATACCACACCCAGCTAATTTTTGATTTATTGTAGAGACAAGTTCTCGCCAAGTCGCCCGGGCTGGTCTCGAACCCTCAGGCTCAGGCAATCCACTCGCCTCAGCCTCCCAAAGTGCTGGGATGACAGGCTGAGCCACCGAGCCCCTCTGAGTTTGTCTCTTCTAAGGGTCGCGAGAAAGAATCTGTTCTAGAATTCCTCCTTGGCTGGTAGATGGCTGTCTTCAGGTCCAGATGGCCTTCTCCCTACATGTGTGTCTGATCTCCAAATCTCTTCTTATAAGGATACCAGATACCTTGGATTAAGGTTCACCCTCATGACCCCATTTTAACTTGATTATCTCTAAAGACTCTTATCTCTCAGCTGGGTGCCGTGACTCATGTCTGTAATCCCAGTGCTTTGGGAGGCCGAGGCGGAAGGATCACTTGAGCCTGGAGTTGAAGACAAGCCTGGGCAAGATAGTGAGACCTCGTCTCTAAAAAAATTAGCCGGGTGTTGTAGTGCATGCCTGTAGTCCCAGCTACTCGGGAGGCTGAAGTGGGAGGATCGCCTAAGCCCAGGAGGTTGAGCTGTCATCATGCTACTGCACTCCAGCCTGGGTGACAGAGTGAGACACCGAATCAAAAGAAAAAAAAAAAAAAGACCCTATCTTCAAATACAGTCACATTCCGAGGTACTGAGGGCTAGAACTTTAACATATGAATTTGAAAGGTGGATACAACTGTAACCGTAACAGTCCCTAGGATATTTCAGAAATGCAACCTAAGTTATTTATCTTTTCTTTAGAGAACTATAATTCATAGTTTTCAATCAGTGAGATGTTCTCAGTGGGTAACAGTATGCTTGGGTGTTGTGTGCAGTGTGTCAGCACGCAGGTGTTTGATAAAGCTTCCATGCTAAGAAGAGGATCCTGAGTATGCCAGCGTTGGGAATTCATGTTGTTCTGTCTATCACATAGGAGTCAGGAGCCCCAGAAGACCTCGGGTGTGCGTTGAGACCCGGGACCAAAGGGGCCGTGTACGAAGCCACAGCGGTGGAAGTGGCCGTGTCTGCGTCCGTCACCCTGCAGGTGCTGGTCAACACCCCAGGGAACATTTCCTGCCGCTGGGTTTTTAAGCGCAGCTCCCTGAATTGCCAGCCTCACTTTGATTCACAGAACAGGTAAGAGCAGGGGATGTCCAGACACAGGATTTCTGGAGGAATACTTTCTTGCATGACGTGGAGTTTCTTTGGGCCGGGCGTGGTGGCTCATACCTATGCTCCCAGCACTTTGGGGGGCTGGGGTGGGAAGATTGCTTGAGCCCAGGAGTTTGAGACCAGCCTGGGCAATGGAGCAAGACTCGTCTCTACAAAAAATCGGAAAATTAACTGGGTATGGTGGCACATGCCTGTCGACCCAGCTACTTGGAGGCTGAAGTGGGAGGATCAACTGAACCCAGGAGGGTGAGACTATAATGAGTTCTGATCGTGCTTCTACTGCACTCTAGCCCGGGTGGCAGAATGAGACTCTGACTCCAAAAAAAAAAAAAAAAAGAAAGAAAGGAAAAGAAAAGAAAAAGAAATGTGGTCTATTTGGATTCCTGTCAAAGTTTCTGTTCATGTTTGTTGTAACTTATTTGTGTATTTGTTTGTTTGTTTATTTATTTGAGTAGGAGTCTCACTCTGTTGCCCAGGCTGGAGTGCAGTGGCACACTCTCGGCTCATTGCAGCCTCAACCTCCTGGGCTCAGGCAATCTTTCTGCCTCAGCCTTCCAAGTAGCTGGAACCCCAGGCACGTACCACCATGCCTGGCCAACTTTAAAAAATTTATTGTAGAGATGAGGTCTCACCCCATGTTTATTGTAACTCCTATCTCCAGTGAAAAATGAACTAAAAAATATAGTTAGGGCATGAACATGTGATATTATATATCTGTCAAATCCTATAGGGTATACAACACAAAAAGTGAACCTTAATGTAAACAATTGAACTTTAATACTGGTTTATCCATTGTAACAAATATGTCACACCTATGATATACATATATATATACATATATATATATTTATGTATATATATATATATACACATATATATATATTTTTGGAGATAGGATCTCGCTCCGTTGCTTAGGCTGGAGGGCAGTGGCATGATCATGGTTCATTGCAGCCCCCAACTCCTGGGCTCAAGCAATCCTCATGTGTCAGCCTCCTGAGTAGTTAAGACTATAGGTGTGCACCACCACACCTGGCTAATTTTTAAAATTTATTGTAGAGATGAGGTTTTGCTATGTTGCCCAGGCTGGTCTTTAACTCCTGGGCTCAAGCGATCCTCACAGCTAGGGTGCTGAGATTTCATAGATGTGAGTCACCATGTACAGCCTAAGATGTTAATGACAAAGGAAGTTGTGTGTGGGGAGGGAAGGCATCTATGAGATCTCCTCAAGTTTTTTTGCTTAATTCTTCTGTCAATCTGCTCTAAAAAAATAAAACCTATTAATTTAAACAATCTTGTCTAAAAGACATTATAAGCATATACAAAGCAGTGAGTGGCTGGCAAAATGTAAAACAAATAGGGAAAAGAATATTTGGGATTTTTAAAGTGCCTTGTTTTTTTTGAGTTGGAGTCTCACTCTGTGGCCCAGACTGGAGTGCAGTGGCTGCTCCTGGCCACCGCAGCCTCTACCTGCTGGGCTCCGGCGATCCTTCCGCCTCAGCCTTCCGAGTAGCTGGAGTTACAGGCATGCGCTACCACACCCAGCTGATTTTTTGATTTTATTGTAGAGATGAAGTCTCGCTGCCCAGGCGGGTCTCGAACCCGCGGGCTCAGGCAATCCACTCACCTCAGTCTCCCAAAGGTGCGGGAATTACAGGCTGAGCCACTGAGCCTGGCTAGTGCCTTGTTTTTTAATTGGATATCTGCTGAAAGGTAAAATTTTAGAGAGTCTTCATTTTACTCTAGAGTAGCAAGAAATTTATATTTGGGAAGTGCTTGATTCTTCAAGAACATTTTGTTTTGTTTTTGTTTTTTTGAGTTGGGGATCTCACTCTGTTGCCCAGACCAGAGGGCAGTGGCATGATCACCGCTCACCGCAGCCTCGACCTCCTGGGCTCATGCAATCCTTCTGCCTCAGCCTCCTGAGTAGCTGGAACCACAGGCGAGCGCCACTATTCCCGGCTAATTTTGTGATTTTTTGTAGAGACGAGGTCTTGCTATGTTGCCCAAGCTGGTCTCAAAGTCCTGGGCTCAAGTGCTCCTCCTGCCTTAGCCTCTCAAAGTGCCGGGATGACAGGTGTGTGTCACCACACCTAGCCTAACTTTTGCTTTTATCTGTTTTGTTCCACAATATAATAGGAAATATTGCAGTGTTATGTGATAGCTGCAAAATATTCTAGTAAGACATCGATCTGTCTGTAAGGAACATTGGTCTCATTATCCAGAAGAATATCTTGGCGAAGATTGGTGGGTAGTAACCAAGCTCTGTCTGACTCCATGCCGATGGTTGCCCCTTGCTGTCCTTGTTTTCCTGCTGAAACCAGAGAGGACAGCGGACATAGGCCATTTAATGGCCACTTAATGTTCCTACCTAAGGTGCCCCTTTTCTTTTAATTCATGGGACTGTTCTGCTGTCCCATAGCTGAAGAGAGGGTGTTGTCTTTCCAGGAACTATGCGGTAAATGGTACCCAAATGTCGTGAACGAGATTTCATGCCCTTGACATAAGAATTGGAGAGTATCTCTGTGACTGACCCATACCAATTATTTGTATTTAAAAATATATATGTATATATATAATTTTAATTATATGATTCAGGATTAGATATACAAGTGGACATCATACAGGTAAAGTTTTGGCCTCCTGTGGGTCCCCACTTTGCCTGGTTTGAGATCAGATTCCCTTACTGATGTTATGTGCCACCCACCGCCCAAACCCATATTTGTTATTTAAGGTCAAATAAACTCCTAAGTAACTTTCAGACGGGGGTGTAACTCTGAAGTTCAGTTCTAAATGCTGGGACATATTTCTCTTTCTCTTTTGAGAGTATTACCCACTTCTGTTTTTCGGTTACTTTTATCTTGAGATTAAACCAAAGCACGCCTCTACTAAGAATGTTGGCTTCAAGAAATGTTGTGGTGATTTTATTAAAATTGTATGTCATGATAGTTCTCAGTGGATCGATGTCAAAAAAAAATCAAAGTAGGAAAGGAGGATTCTTTTCACTCTGTAGAGGTTACTTCGTTGCTGGAGGTTAGGGAACCCAGTTTGTAAAACAAAGTCATGGTTCTCATGTGGGTCAGTAAACTTAGTACCCAAATGTTTTGAGTGGCTTTTCACAGAGAATTAGAGAAATTTGTATCTGGACTCTGACTCATAGGTGGAAAGACTGAACACCTAAGCTTTCAAGATTTCACAAATGGGCCTGTGCAGTGGCTCAAGCCTTATCACAGCACTTTGGGAGACCAAGGCAGAAGGATTGCTTGAGCCCAGGAGTTTGAGACCAGCCCAGGCAACATAGCAAGACCTTGTCTCCACAAAATAATAATAATAAAAAAAAAATTTAGCCAGGCGTAGTGACATGTGCCTGTAGTCTCACTACTTGGGAGGCTAAGGTGGGAGGATCACCTAAGCCAAGAAGGGTAGAGGCTGCGGTGAGCTATGGTCGTGCCACTGCACTCCAGCCTTGGCCACAGGGTGAGACCTTGACTCAAAAAAATAAAAAAAGAATTCACAAATGATACTAGGAGAATGAGTGTTTCAGAGAGAGAAAGCATAGCATCAAACAGATCTGCAAAAGCAAATAAAATGCTCACCCTACTCATTTACCATCTTTATGAACATAAGCACGTGGACTTTTGAACCTGCTTGGTGCTCTAAGTAGGGCTTCTCAAGTGTAGTGTGCATTTGGATTACCTGGGGGGGTCTTGTGAAAATGCAGACTCTGATGCGACAGGTTCATGTGAGGACTGAGAGTCCGCATTTTTGTCAACTTCCACCATTGCAGAAAGACCTCACTTGGAGCCGTAAGGACCGAAGGGTCAGAACGTGTGGATTTAAATCTGGCTTCACGCAGCAAATGGCTTCATGAGAGCTTTAAGCCTTCATGAGAGCAGCTAGCATCCAATACACAAGATATACACATGAAAGTTATCTCTGGGAAGAAAATGCACCTGGCCAAATTTATCTTTACCACTTATCAGAAAGATTCAGAATACTGACACTAAGACAACTTTCTCCCTACATCTGTGGGATAATCAGAGTAATGATTGCTTCATAGGAAAATGCCTTGTGTCCGATTTTCCCTGAATTCTTTTTAGAGACAAAAAGTCACAGACCAGAACTTTTTTTGAGTAGGAGTCTCACTATCACGTAGGCTGGAATGCAGTGGCATGCTCATGTCACCACAGCCTCGACCTGTTGGGCTCAGGTGATCCTTCCATCTCAGTCTTCCAAGTAGCTGGAACCCCACGTGCCACCACACTCAGCTAATTTTTTGATTTCTTGTAGAGATGAGGTCTCACCAAGTTGCCCAGGCTGGTCTTGAATCCCTGGGCTCAGGCAATCATTTTGCCTTCGCCTGTGCTGGGAACACAGGCATGAGTACCTGAGCCAGGCTTTGTGTGTGTGTCTGTGTGTTGGAGTCTCATTCTGTCACCCAGGTTAGAGTGCAGTGGCACACTCACAGCCACCCCAGCATCGACCTCCTGGGCTCCGGCGATCCTTCTTCCTCAGCCTTCCAAGTAGCCAGAACTACAGGCGTGTGCTATCACCCCCGGCTAATTTTTAAAATATTTATTGTTGAGACAAGGGTTTGCCAAGTTTCCCGGGCTGGTCTCGAACCCATGGGCTCAGGCAATCCACTCGCCTTGGCCTCCCAAAGTGCTAGGATTACAGGCCGAGCCACCGAGCCCCGTCCTGAGCCAGGCTTTTAAAAAGATCTCAGCATATCTCGCTTGTAGAGCTATCTGGTTCTTCGAGTGGGAAACTGAGGCTGGTGATCCAGTGCCTGGGCACACATGATCAGGGAGCGTGCCTTGTCACTGAGGGGCATGGCAAGCCACTGCCCACGGGAGTGTCCCACCAAAGCTATGTGTTTTGGGATGGGAGTTTTCCCTCCTAGGAGCTCAGGCAACATGAGATGGAGGTACAAGAAGGATGCTCATACCCAGGCCACAGTCGAGGTCCAGCGAGCAGTGCTCAGGCTGGGTACGTGACAGGAGTTGTGTCCCCACCAAAACCATCCTTCCGTGCCAGCCAGGGATGCGGGAGCCACCCAGCCACCTTCTTAGTCAATATGAATTTTTTTTCAGTTTCATACATTTTCCAAAATAACCAGTTCTCTTTCCTATTTTACAGAAGAGTTGTTTCCATGGTCATTTTGAAAATGACAGAAACCCAAGCTGGAGAATACCTACTTTTTATTCAGAGTGAAGCTACCAATTACACGGTATTGTTTACAGTGAGTATAAGAAGTAAGTTCAGCCTGCTCCTAGTATTCGAGCCTGGAACACCACAGTGTCCCCAAGGAGGGACTTGTTACCCACTAGCTCTCACCATCTCCACTAGACACAGCATGCAGGTGGCTCTCAGAATGCTGGTGAATGGATTAAATCCCCTTTGACCATCCCTAGAATTGATGGAGAACTGAGGATCTCTGATATCCCAGGGACTCTCGGGGTGTAGATGCTGTTCAGAGACTGAGGACATCTTGCAGGTGGTCGACAGGACAGGAGAAAGGGAAAGCTTCGTGACCTTTGAGTCAGAAGACTGGGATTCTCATTCTGGTTCTGATACCACCACCTTGTGTTTTTTTGGCAGGCCCCTTAATCTCTCTGAGCCTCAATTTCCTTGTCTGTAAAATGGGAATAAAAGCACACACTTCACAGGATTGTAAGGTCTAAGTGCAACCCAACAGAGCTTTCTGAGATGATGAAAATGTTCTGTGTCTGTGCTGTCTAGTTTAATAGCTACCAGCTGCAGGAGGCTTTTAAACACTTGAAATTGTGTTTAGCTAGTGACTGAGCAGCCACTTTTAATTTTAATTAATATTTTAATTTAAACCAGCGTGGTGGCTCATGCCTATAATCCTAGCACTTTGGGAGGCTGAGGCAGGGGGATCGCTTGAATCCAGGAGTTTTAGACATAGTGAGACCTCGTCTCTACAAAAAATAAGGAAAAATTAGCCAGGTGTGGTGGTGTGCTTCTGTAGTCCCTGGGAGGGAGGTGGGAGGCTGAGGTGGGAGGATGGCCTGAGCCCAGGAGTTGGAGACTGTGGTGAGCCATGATTTTGACACTGCACTCTAGCCTGGGCAACAGAGTGAGACTCCAACTCAAAAAAAGTTGTTTTAAAAAAAAATTTAAACAGCACCAGTTTATACAACTGCTTACCCATCTATGCCAACTGTAAGAAATATTCTTACCTAGGGAGGCAGCCGTTCCATCCCCACCATGCACAGACTTAGTGCTGTGCACCTTCGACGCCCTGATAAGGACAAAAGGTGGCTGCATTCACTTGTGTCCTCGTGCCTTTGGGGCCAGAGGGGTGCTCCAAAAACTCCTGGTTAATACCACTTTAAATGAGGTTCCCTGGCCACATACTGGTGCACCTCACCAGGCTCCCTCCTCTTCCTTGTGACTCAAATATACCAAGCGAGTGTGTCCAGCCCACAGAGGTGCCCTGAGTCAGGAACAACCACAACTACCCTCTGCTGACGATGCTCTGAACGGATCGTCCCAGATGCTCACGACAATCCTGTCTACGAAAACAGACACACTGAGAAGGGCTCTCATGGGCACAGCCAGAGGCCGACTCGAGTGCCCTGTCTGTGCTGCCCTGCACTGGGTGTTGTGTGTGTGTGTGTGGTCTTGCCACCGTCAAAGCTACTAGTAGAAGAGAGCACTTTAGATTCCCAGAAGTGTCTTACTGGGGCCAGGGGTGGGGTATTAGGTCCTGAAGTCAACCTGCAAGGTAAAAGTCAGGTGAGGTCAAAATTCATTCTGGAGGGCTGGGTGCGGTGGCTTACTCCTTTTATCCCAGCACTTCGGGAGGCAGAAGAGGGAGGATCACTTGAGCCCAGGAGTTTGAGACCAGCCTGAGCAATATAGCAAAAACTCGTCTCTACAAAAAAAAAAAAAAAAAATTAGTTGTGCGTGATGGCGCGTGCCTGTAGTCCCAGCTACTCGGGAGGCTGAGACGGAAGGATCGCCTGAGCCCAGAAGGTCGAGCTGTGATCGTGCCACTGCACTCCAGCCTGGGAGACACAGTGAGACTCTGACTCAATAAAAATTTTTTTTTAATTCTGGAAAGTCTTTTATTACTCGAAAGTTGGTAGGAACAGAACCTAGAAGTTCAAAGCCAAGAGTTGACCTTTTATTATTCTTTGGTTTTCTTCTGTTCCCTGCGCCCGTCCTAGTCCCTCACTCCCTCTGTGGGACTGTAAATGTGTGCTCCAGATTGGAAGAGGATAAATATGTCTTACCCTTTCCCTCACTCCTTTCTCTCTCTCTTTTTCCAAGTATAAGTAGTTGTATAAGGTAAGTGGGCATCTGCTGCATCTCTGTGATATTTATGGTCTCTTCTTTTCACTTAAGATTTACAATGTAAAAATGAAACAATCTTTCGAGTACACTGTAGCATGTTTTTAGCCTTCTGGGGTGGTTGAATACAAAAAAAAAAAAAAAGTGGGAGAAGCTTGACAACAGGCAGTATGAAAAAGAGGAAAGGGTTTAGTCAAACCAGAAGCTCAGTAAAACCACAAGTGTGGCATGATTGCTAAAAAAGTAAACTTGAACTTGGCTGTGTTCATGAAAATGTAACGTCTAGATTAAGGAAATTAATAGAGTATTATTTTCAGCTCTCTATTTTTTCAGATGAACACTGACAAAATGGAGCAACCAGGATAGCGGAGAACTTGGAATTCCTTAAATTGGGAGCAGCTGAATGGAGTTGGGAGTGTTTAGCACAGAGAAGGGAATATTTTGAGGAGAGGAGAAGATTGATTGCAATGTAATGAAGAGGAAAGTCTTCTGGGATTTAAGTCAGGGAAGCCAGGCCAAATAATTAAAATGCCTTTGATGGTAATTATCTCACTTGACCTCGGTTTCTGATTTTAAATATTTGAAGGATTTTCATGTGGAAGCAAAGCTAGACTTATTTTTAAAAAATTGCTCAAGAGGATAAAATTAGAATCAATGGGAGAAAAAGTAAAAACTCTCACAATCAATAAAGGAGTAATAGTCATCATATGTGAAGCGCTTCCATAAATCAATAAGAAAAACAAAAACCAAAACCTAGTAGGAAAAAGAACAAAAGGACATTTCCTTTTCAGAACATGGAATCTAAATAGTCAATAAACCATTTCATTTTCAGAACATGAAATCTAAATGGTCAATAAACATGTGTTAAAGCATTGACTTAGTCATATTAAAATTTTAAAGGATTTATTTGAGCAGATAGTGATTCATAAATTGGGCAATGCCAAATGCCAAACAGTTGGGCTCTACGGAGGGATTTGAGGGGAACATTTATAAGGGGTTCACGAAAGCAAGACAAAAATCACATTTGATTGGTTAAAGTAGAAAGTCCCTAATTAGAGATGAGTTGGCGGTTTCTGGTTGGTTAAGCTTCTGCTTTATTTTATTACTTACAGTGAGCTGGGGTTTGGTTGCTTGTGCAGGAGCCCAAGGTGCTAGAGCTGAGTCACCCGAATGGCCTCCCAATGAATTATTTTTAATATGTGTAAATTAATAATTGAGAAATCAAATGAAGGCCACAAGGTGATGCCATTTTATAACTAATTGTTGAAAATCAAGAATTCTTAGTAAGTATATCAAGCAGTAGGTGCCCTCATCGCCTGCTGTGTAAACACATATTAGTATGACCACTTGGAAAGCAAGTTGTCATGATGTGGAAAACTGAACATGCACACGCCACGGAAACCAGCAGTTACGCTCTTAAGTATATCATTAAAGAACCCATTATATGCGTGCCTTGGTAGAACTGGGTAGAATGTTCGCAGCACCATGATGGATAGCACAAATAACCGGAAAAAACCCAAAAGTCCACTGCAAGAAAATGAAAACATAGATCATGATATATTTACCAATGGAATACTATGGAGCAGTAAAACAATGAATAATGTATAATGACACATAAAACCATTGGTGAAACTTTTTTTTTGAGTTGGGGGTCTCATGCTGTCACCCAGGCTGGAGTGCAGTGGCACGATCACGGCTCACTGCAGCCTTGACCTCTTGGACTCAGGTGATCCTTCTGCCTCAGCCTCCCGAGTAGCTGGAATTGCAAACACATGCCATTCATTACACCTGGCTAATTTTTTGATATTTTGTAGAGATAAGGTCTTGCTTTGTTGCCCAGACTGGTTTCAAACTCCTGGGCTCAATCAATCCTCTCGTCTTAGCCTCCCAAAGTGCTGGGATGACAGGTGTGAGCCACCGCACCCAGCCAGAAACTTTATCTAAAAAAAAAAAAAAAAAAGGGGGCAATCCCTGTGGGTTCCCCTTTGGGAGCTTTTCTGTTCTCTCAACAAATCTTGCTTTCTAAAAAAAAAAAAGTTTTTGTCAAAGAGTAGGAATGACTTGCCCTGGGAGGTAATGAACCCCAGTCCTTAGAGGAGTCCAAGCAGAAGTAGAAAGTTTACATGTTGGGCGGGGAATGGGGCATATGTATATGCATGTCTGTCTGTGTGTGTGCATGCATGATGGTCCAATGTGAACCAGAGGCTCAACTAAACCTCTAAATTCTGTTCCAGTCCTAACTCCATCCTACCATATTCTGCATCTCCAAATCTTAGTATATTTCTGCCTCATTCCAGATAAAATAATGGGAAGAAAGTTGCATGTCCAACTGTATGTTTAATAAGGGGCTTAAACTATCTTCTATTGCTGGTTTCAATCTTATGATGTCAGCATTTGTATTTTCCCATGGCTTCAATCCACTTACTCTAGTGATCTGTGGATGTGTGAACTGTGGTACCCAAAGAAATTGGTCAAGAGGTCAAATGCGACAGCTGACGTTGCAGCCAGAGTGACATTTAATGTCATGGTTGGCTTTCCTTTGATGCCTTTCGTAGAAAAAAAGAAAAAATTAGAATCATCATTACGCGTTGCATCCCTGGAATGGAAGCAGAGGGGTTGCTTCCATTGTTTGTACAACTGTTTGTGTTTATTAAATAAATACAGTGCTTATCATGTACCTTAAAAAAAATAGTATATACCATGGTTGGTGGGTGGAGGGGGGCAGGGGGCACCGTGGTGGCATAAAACGTTCCCTTTTCTTGATGGTGGAGAGTGCTTTTCTGAAAAACCTGCCAGGAGGATTGTGTTTTAAATGTGAAAACGTGAATGCTGTGTGATGCTTTAGATCCACCACTTTATACCCTGAGAAGACCTTACTTCAGAAAGTTGGAGGAAGAGGATGCCCTGGTCTGCGTGTCTGAGAGTGTTCCAGAAGCCACGGTGGAATGGGTGCTTTGCAATTCACAGGGTGAAAGGTATGACGTGTGGAGATAACTGCTAAGACGATTTTCTTTTGGTCTTGTTCTAATGTAGTCACACTGAATGCAAGGCTTAATTTGTCCCCATTTAGACAGGAAATTTTGACTCTGTAGTAAGCAGGATGGAAGGATGTTTGGGGGAATTTTTAGCGAGGGACCTTTGGGAATGCCTCTGATCAACTGCGGGGTCCCCCCACCAGAACCATGCTCCACAAATAAAAGCCCCCTTAAGTTACAGGAGTGCTGACTCCCTGAGCATCTGGGGAGGAAAAAAAGAAAGACACTGATTTTAAAGTATAATTTTCTGATAAGTAAAACTTCCCTGTGACTAAATGTTTAATTTGGAATTATTTTGTTTGTGCAGAAAAAGCAGCCTAGTATGACTGTTTAAAGATAGAGAACCTAGGGTGGGTGTGGTGGCTCATGACTCTGTAATCCCAACATTTTGGGAGGCCAAGGTAGGAGGATCGCTCGAAGCCAGGAGTTTGAGACCAGCCTGGGCAACATAGCAAGATCCCTGTCTCTCCAAAAAGTTTAAAAATTAACCAGGTGTGGTGGTGTGCACCTATAGTCCCAGCTCCTCGGGAAGCTGTGATGGGAAGAGCCTTTGATCCCAGGACGTCCAGGCTGTAGTGAGCTGTGATTGCACCACTGCAGTCCAGCTTGGGCAACAAGTGAGACCCCGTTTCAAATAATAAATATATAAATAAAGAGATATTGTTAGAATCTAGAGCCAGATAGCCTGGGTTTGAACCCTGGCTTGCTTACCAGCAGTGTGACCTTGGGTAAATTACTTAACCTCTCTGTGCCGCACTGCAAGAACTGGGATGGCAAACTCTTTACGTTCTTTATAGGTTGCTCTGATGATTTGAATGGGTTGATTGATGTGAAGTACTTGGGACATTGCCTGAGATAGCAAATATGGTATCCATGTTTACTTTTTGTTCTTTTTGTTTCGTTCTGTTTTGAGACAGGGTCTGACTCTGCCACCCAGGCTGGAGTGCACTGGCATGATCCTGACTCACCACAGTCTCGATCTCCTGGTCTCAAGTGATCCTCCTGTCTCAGTCTCTCAAGCAGCTGGGACTACAGGTGCTTGCCACCATGCCCAGCTTATTTTTTTATTTTTTGTCGAGACAAGGTCTTGCTATGTTGCCCAGGCTGGTCTCGAACTGCTGCGCTCAAGCAATCGTCCTACCTTGGCCTCCCAAAGTGCTGGGATGACAGGCGTGAGCCACCACGCTGGTCTACTTTTGTTTGTCGTATGTGCTGTAGCTAAGTTCTCACAAAGTAAAAATGTATGTAGCTTGAGCTAATTACTAAACAACTTTCCTGGAAAAATGGGACTAAATAGAAGGAGAAAAAGCAAAAAATCATATTATCCCCATGGTACAAATGGATCTCAAAGTTTAGAAGAAGGAGAAACAGAAATTACCTATAAAATATGTGTTATATGTGCATAGAAAAAAAATTGGGCAACACTTTAGGAGGCTGAGGTTGGAGGATTGCCTGAGCCCAGAGGTTCGAGACCAGCCTGGGCAACATGGCAAGACCTTGTCTCTACAATTAAAAACAAACAAAAAAATTAGCCAGGCTCGGTGGCTCAGCCTGTAATCCCGCGCCTTTGGGAGGCTGAGGTGAGTGGATTGCCTGAGCCCACGGGTTCGAGACCCACCTGGGCAACTTGGCGAGACCTCATTTCTACAATAAATCAAAAAATTAGCCAGTCATGGTAGCACGCGCCTGTAGTTCCAGCTACTTGGAAGGCTGAGGCGGAAGGATCGCTGGAGCCCAGCAGGTGGAGGCTGCGGTGGCCAGGAGCGGGCACTGTACTCCAGCCTGAGCGACAGAGTGAGACTCCAACTCAAAAAAAAAAAAAAATTATTTGGGCATGATGGCACACGCCTGTAGTCCCAGCTACTAGGGAGGCTGGGGTAGAAGAATCGTCTGAGCTCAGAAAGTAAGGCTGTGGTAGCAGTGATTGTGTCACTGCACTCCAGCCTGGGCGACAGAGTGAGACTCCAACTCAAAAAAAAAAAAAGTGAAGAGTTGCACAAAAATAATAACTGTTCCCACCTCAGGGTGGTAGGAATATGGAGACTTTACAATTCTTTCCTGTGGATTTTTTTCTGTATTTTCCAAAATTTCTACAATGAATCCAATTATTGCCGTGATAAGTAGAAACTAACTCTAGGAAAGTTACATAAACAAATAAAAGAATGCTCTTGACTGTGAGCTGGGCGCCATGGCTCACACCTGTCATCCCAGCACTTTGGGAGGCGAAGGGCAAGAGGATTACTTGAGCCCAGGAGTTTGAGACTGGCCTGGGCAACTTGGTGAGACCTCGTCTCTACAATAAATCAAAAAATTAGCCAGGTGTGGTGGCGCACACCTGTGGTTCCAGCTGGGATGGAAGGATCACCCGAGTCCAGCAGGTCAAGACTGCAATGATTGTGAGCAGGCCACTGCAGTCCGGCCTGGGTGACAGAGTGAAACTTCGACTCAAAGATAAATAAATAAATAAAATAATGCACTTGAATAAAGCTATAGAGAGGAAAAGAGTGACCCCACACAGACGCTGGAATCACCATCTGCTTTGGCAAAGGGAACGACTGGGAAGCCAGAACCAAAATCTACTTTCTGCTGAGGCAGGGAAGAGGGTCTTGGCTTTCCTTCTGTTTCCTATGGGAACTCTGGTGATGACTTTTTTTTTTTTTTGAGCTGGGCTCTCACTCTGTCTCCCAGACTGGAGGGCAGTGGCGCAATCATGCTCGCTGCAGCCTCAAGCTCCTGGGCTCACACGATCCTCCCACCTCAGCCTCCCAAGTAGCTGGGATTACAGATGTGCACCACCCCCTCCAGCTAATTTTTACATATTTTTTGTAGAGACAGGGTCTTGTTACTTTGCCCTGGCTCTGGGTGACTTTTGCAGTTTTAGTTTCTCTCCCTCTCTCTGGTTGTACCTTTCTGTGCTTTGAAGAAAAAGAGCCTACTGGGTAAAACTGCATTAAAATCCAATCATGTCTTTTCTCTTTTCACTTTCTTTTTTTTTTTTTCCTTTCTTCTCAATTCTCCCTCTTTCCTTGTCTTGAAACAGCAATGACAAGAAGGTTACCATACATGAAAAAATTTAAACTGTTTTATTAAGTAATTCTCCCTGGTGTTCTTCTAATTCATTTAAGCCATGAGAAACTGGCTAGCCCCCTTTCTGAGCCCTTAGTTGAAACCACAGATTTGGGCTGGTTTCCCTTTTGACCTGCTCTTTTCTGGTTCCCTTAAAACTGGTTCTAGAACATTTGACTTTGTTCTTTTCCTGAACATTCCTTTGTAATTTAAAAACGTGTTGGGCAACCCCTTGGGGTCCCTTCCCACTATGGGAGCTTTTCTGTCCTCTCAATAAATCCTGCTTCCAAAACAAAAACCAAAACCAAAACCAAAAAACTTGTTTGGCCAAATGCATTTATTTTCTGATTGCAGCTGTAAAGAAGAAAGCCTCGCTGTCGTTAAAAAAGAGGAGAAGGTACTTCACGAGTTATTTGGAAAAGATATAAGGTGCTGTGCCAAGAACGAGCTGGGCAGGGCATGTACCAAGCTGTTCACAATAGGTAACGCTGTCATAGCGTGTGTTTTTGTTTTCGGTGACTATTTCTCGAAACTGTCGGGGACTAACAGTAACTTCATAAGTGAAAATTCACCTTTGGAAATTCCATAGTTTGTTTCTGCCATTTTTAAATGTCATGTTACGGATTCTGTAAGGGCTGATTTCCAGAAGATTCTTTTGTTAATTTTAACCACGTGAGCACTTGAGATGATGTGAAAAATCTTTGTTCGGAACGTTCAGGATATGTTTTGGGATGAGGCAAAGTCTTTTTCACCTTACTTGGGATATTTTCATCTTTAGATCTGAATCAGTCGCCTCGGACCACACTGCCACAGTTATTTCTCAAAGTAGGGGAACCCTTATGGATCCGGTGCAAAGCTGTTCACGTGAACCACAGATTTGGGCTCACCTGGGAATTAGAACACAAAGCACTTGAGGAGGTAACCGGATGAGTATTGTGTTCTGAAATTGCAGGGATGATGAACTCATTGTGCAGGCTGGAAGCATTAAACTTGAACTCTGTTTTGTTAAAACCCAGGGCAGCTACTTTGAGATGAGCACCTATTCAACAAACAGGACCATGATACGGATTCTGTTTGCCTTCGTATCGTCCGTGGGAAGAAACAACACCGGATATTATACTTGTTCCTCTTCAAAGCATCCCAGTCAATCAGCTTTGGTTACCATCCTAGGTAATGCGGGCAGCTCACGAAACTGTTATTCATACTTTTAGTTGCTTTAATGTGGAATGGGGGATGTGCAATATAAATTCTAATTCTTTCCTTTTCTTTTTTTAAGTTGGAGTCTCACTCTGTTGCCCAGGCTGGAGTGAAATGGCACGCTCACGGCCACCGCAGCCTTGACCTGCTGGGCTCAGGTGATCCTTCCACCTCAGTCACCCAAGTAGCTGGGGCTACAGGCACATGCCACCATGCCCAGCTAATTTTTTGATTTATTGTAGAGACAAGATCTCGCCGAGTTGCCTAGGCTGGTCTCGAACTTGTGGGCTCAGGCAGTTCTCCTGCCTCTGCCTCCCAAAGTAGGCATGAGTCACTGTGCTCGGCAATTCTGATTTTAATATAATGTTACGATAAAAAGCTGAATAAGAAACTGAGTTAGAATAGGCCGGGTGCCGTGGCTCACGCTTATAATCTCAGATCTTTGGGAGGTCCCGGTGGAAGGATTGCTTGCGCCCAGGAAAGACCTCGTCTCTACCAAAAAAGAAAAAAAAATCAGGTGTGGCGGCACACACCTAGTCCCAGCTACTTGGGAGGCTGAGGCAGAAGGATTGCCTGAGCTCAGGTGGTCGAGGCTGCAGTGAGCTGCGACAGTGCCATTGCACTCCAGGGTGGGTGACTGAGTAAAAAAGGAAGTAAAAAAGAAAAAAGAAGCTGAGTTTGGAATCTCTTTGCAGAGATAAGCTGCCCATCCCTCTTTTCCAGTTAAACCAGGACCACTGGAATGCCACTGGCTTTGCACTTAATGCATGATATTGTGGCCATCTGTTTTGTATCCTTTTGCCTCTCTGTAGACTATACGTTTCCTGCGGACAATCCTTTCTATGTTGGTGGCCCCAGAACCTAGCACAGAGCCTGACACAACATAGGCACTTAATAAATACTTGTTCTAAGAACCCACTGCAAGTGTTCAATAACCGAGAATCCGCACAAGCCCTCAGATACATTGAAATTGGATTTAAAAATAGCAATGGAAGTAACCTCAGGCTAGGGTGCAGCCTTCAACCATGATCAAATGCTAAGAAATTTAGTGATTCTCTTAGAAAACTCACAGGAAAGTGTTCCATAAGGAAACCTTATCAATATTGCTAGTCAGTTTGTTCTTTTATTTGTGTCTTGGGATGGTCGTTATTGTTATTTTGAGTTGAAATCTCACTCTGTTGCCCAGGCTGGAGTGCAGTGGCACCATCACAGCTCACTGCAGCCTCAACTTCCTGGGCTCAGGCGATCATCCCACCTCAGCCTCCCAAGTAGCTGGGACTACAGGCATGCACCACCACACCCAGCTATTTATATTTTTTTGTAGAGATGAGATCTGGCTATGTTGCCCTGGCTGTTCTCAAACTCCTGGCCTCAAGTGATCCTCCTGCCTCAGCCTCCCAAAATGCTGGGATTACAGGCATGAGCCACCATGCCTGGACGCCTTGGGATTATTTTATGTGGGATCTGTCACTGAGATAGTTGTGTTAGCTGAGAGCAGGGACTTTCAGACCGTTAGGGAACCCCCGCTGTGTACATGGGAGTGGGGAAGCCCCTTGACCTCTTGAAATTGCCTGCAAAATCTGTAGGGTTAGTTATTCATTTCTCTGGGAAGATGGTCATTATTTACATCCCATTCTTAAAGGAATTTTGACTCCAGAAGATTATGGGCTCAGGCTTAGAACCAGGGATAGGAGTCCTGGATTTTCTCTTGGTCTATCTAACCTGACCTGCAACCTGCCAGCGTCTGGATTTTTCTCGCATTAAGCTGATGAATAAAAGTTTATTTTATCTTCTCAGTACATTTCCACGTGAAGTTCATTATCTAATTTATAATTATATTAATTATATAATTATATTAAATATATAATATTAAATAAATATCTTTCTTTTTTTTTTTACAGAAAAGGGATTTATAAACGCAACCAATTCAAGTGAAAATTATGAAATTGACCAATATGAAGAGTTTTGTTTTTCTATCAGGTTTAAAGCATACCCACAAATCAGCTGCACTTGGACCTTTTCTCAAAAATCATTTCCTTGTGAACAGAGTGGCCTTGATGACGGCTACAGGTGAGACCAGAAAGAGTCCTGAGACATCACTGTAAGCTCAAGTCTCCTTTCTCGTAGCTCCCGAGAAGGGCGGGTTAGTACTTGGGGAAGCAGATTCACTTATTATGAGTTTACGTGTCACTGAGCTAAAAATTGAAGCTGAGAAGGGCAGCAGATGTGAGGAGGCAGGATCAGCCTTACTGTCGCTCCAGATAACATAACCGACTGCACGAAAACGGAATTGTGTTCGTTGGAGTCTGGTTCTGTGGCGCTTTGAGTCACAAGGTTGTTACTTCCTGTTTGAGAGTGTGGTGCAGCCTTCAGTCTCCCTGAGCACATTTGAAGATGATTGAGGAAGTAAAACTCCTTAAAAACAGGAAAACATCACCTATAGGTGTGTAGATTTACGTTTTTAAAAAATAAATGCAGAAATGGCCCAATAATACGTGGTAAAGGAAAACTGTGTATTCCTGGGGCTTTGTAGAATTATGCAAGATTCTTTCATGGGGAGGGATATCTTCATTTCTTCTTTGGAAAACAAAAAACAGCCTTCCCCCTGTATCTTCTATAGCTTGTGACATCTCTTATCTCTAATCCTATGGAACGTGGTTTCAGAGGAGACTGTGAGAGACTGAGACACAGGTGATCTCTCTCAAGCAAGTCACTGGTCTAGAATAAATGGTTGTTTCTGGGCATGTGGTTCACACCCCGACTGCATAAGAATCATCTGGGCAAATATTAAAAATGTGAATAGGCAACATGGTTGGTTCCGGCTCCCATTCCAAACTTGCTGAATCAAAATTGGGGCAAAAGTCCCCAATTCCGCATTTTTTTTTGAGTTGGGGTCTCACTGTATCGCCCAGGCTAGAGCGCAGGGGCACAATCATGGCTCACTGCAACCTCTACCTCCTGGGCTCGTGTGATCCTCCTGTATCAGCCTCCCGAGTAGCTGGGATTACAGGAGCATGTCACCATGTCTAGCTAATTTTTTGATATATTGTAGAGACAAGGTCTTGCTGGGTTGCCCAAGTTGGTCTTAAACTCCTGGGTTCAAGTGATCCTCCCGCCTCTGCCTTCCAAAATGCTGGTATTACAGGCGTGAGCCACTGCACCCGGCCAAATTCCTCATTTTCAGTGAGAACCTTTGGTGATTCCTGTCACAACTCCTTATCTGTGTTGTCTGGGACAGTAGCCACTAGTCACACATGGCTATTGAAAACTTAAAATGTGGTCAGTCCAAACGGAGATGTGCTCTGTGAAATACACACTAGATTTTAAAGACTTAGTAAGAAAAAAAGGTAAAATATCTTTATATTGGATATAAATGAAAATGACAGTATTTTGGATACATTTAGCTAAACACAATCTAGTTTTAAACATGCTCTCACCTGCTTCTTTTTGCTTTCTTTTTTTAATGTTTAGACTATGTCTTTATTTTATTTTGTTTTTATTATCAAGATGTGGGGTACAATTCGGGGTTAGGTATACAAACGTTGATTATGCAGGTACCTTTGTTGATGAGGTATGCCCTTCCCTCCCCAGCAGTTTCCCTCAGCTGCCAATCCCTTTCTTACAGTATTATAATTGTTCAAGGTCTGCTTATGAGTGAGAACATATGGTACTCTGTTCTTTGTTTCTGTGATAGATCACTGAGTATGATCGATTCTAAATCCATCCAAGTTGCTGCGAAGTCTATGTTTGTCCTTTTTATGGCTACATAATATTCCACTGTGTATATATACCCCATTTTTTAAATCCAGTCCAGCTTTGATGGGCAACACGGTTGGTTCCATGTTTTTGCTATTGTGAAAAGAGCTGCAACAAACATACGTGTGCAGGTATCTTTTTTGTAGAATGATTTGAGTTCCTCCGGGTATATTCCCAATAGGTGAATTGCTGGGTCATTCTTTTTACTTTCTTTATACTGCAAACTGGGGATTTTAAAATGATGTCGGAGACTTACATTTATGGCTCATGTTGTATGTAACTGAATAATGCTGGTCTCACTGAAGGATAGGAGTTAAGTTCATTCCACCTTCATTCTGCTAAGTGTTTGTTTTGTGATTGTTGTGCTATTGGTCATACCCAAATAATTTGTAACTGGTCCTTGTTTGGATTTTTTTTTCTTTGAGTCAGGGTCTCACTTAGTCACCCAGACCAGAGGGCAGTGGCATGATTGTGGCTCACGGCAGCCTCAACCTCCTGGGCTCAGGCGATCCTTCTGCCTCAGCCTCCCGAGTAACTGGGACGACAGGCGTGCACCACCACACCCAGCTAATTTTTAAATATCTTTGTGGAGACGAAGTCTTGAACTGGGCTATGTTGCCCAGGCTGGTCTTGAATTCCCGGTCTCAAGCAATCCTCCTGCCTTGGCCTTCCTGAGTGCTAGGATTACAGGTGTGAGCCAGTGCACGTGACCCTTGTTTGGATTTTTGAGTCCCAAGGCAGTGTTTGCATGGAACTGTCTATCTTGTATTGCCCAAACCCACCAGTGTTCATACCGTTCATTCTTAAGGTAATTAACAGTGCAGCCTTTGGCCTGAGCGTTGACTGATACACACACCCCATAACGCAGTGCTTCTCAGTAGCGGCACTACTGACATTTGGGGCTGGATAAGTCTTTGTCGTGGAGGTGTGTCCTGTGCATTGTAGCATAGTCACCAGCACCCCTGGCCTCCTCCTACTGGATGCCGATAGCACATCCCCTTTTCCCAGTTGTGACACCCAAAAATATCTTCAGACATTGCCAAATGTCCCCAATGAGAAAAATGGCCCCTGGTTGAGAACCATCGCCTAGAATGATCATCTCACAGTCATAAGCACTTGTGCAGAACCATCAAGTGGTTACAAGGAGGTCAGGGAGTCAGCTCCTCATGACCCTCGTGGAATTGATGACCGCTTGGCCTGTATTCAGTGGTGACACTTGGCCTCTATCCAGAAGGAAATCGACACAGTACTGTCTGCTCTCTCCTTGGTATTGTGTCCTGGGGTTAGATAAGCTCTTAGCATTATGGAACTCTCTTCAGAACCCGATTCAAAGAGATAATGGATCAATTTAATTTATTTACTTATTGCTATTCTTTTTTTTTTTTTTTGAGTCAGAGTCTCACTCTGTCACTGGAGTGCAGTGGCACAATCATGGCTACCGCAGCCTCAACCTGCTGGACTCAGGCGATCCTTCTACCTTAGCCTTCCAAGTAGCTGGGAATACATGTATAGACCACCACTCCCAGCTAATGTCTTGATTTATTTAGAGATGAGGTCTCACGATGTTTTCCAGGCTGGTCTCGAAATCCTGGGCTCAGGCAATCCTCTCGCCTCAGTCTCCCAAAGTGCTGGGATTTCAGGCATGCCAGAATGATCATTTCAATTTAGTTCAACAAATAGTACTTGAATACCTTCTTGATGGATCTGATGCTCTGAGAGGCCACAAGTGTCAATATCTCTCCTTCTCCCCCCAAAATTACACAGATTACTATTGTGCTGGTGATGTCTGGTGTCACCTTTGCGATCTGACAGAATCACAGTTTAGAGAACCATACCTCTGATTCACGGGTCAAGGGCCCGTCTCGCGAGGTAGCTGATTTTATTTCATTCCATGTCCACAATCTGCAGCCGCTGACTCCGAGTTAGTGTCCTACAGAGGCGGCCAATGAATGAATGAGGGAGATCGAGCTCCTTAGTGCTTTGGACTGCTCTCATTCCGAATTACCTGGTAATACAGTGACCTCTTCGTATGTCGCTCTGCCATTTCTTGATCTTTGTATGCCTTGTTCAGTAAATGGGTGTTTATCAAATGCATAAATTCCTCATCACTTCTGGAAAGCAGTTCCACGAGCACGGTCTGGGTCAGGGATGATGAGTCAAGTTCATCCTCTTTGCACAAGGACCGTGCACATGGTGCTTACTACAACAGCCAATCTTCAGTGCTTGTTGCCTATAAAAGTTCTTGGAGAGCTACGGTGTTTGTTGGTGCTGATGACCTCTCAGGTGTTATGGGCCACTGAATACCCACGGCAAAGGAAAGATGGAGCCTCTTTTCTTCCTGAAAATGATGCTCAAAATATTGAAAGAAAAAAAGAATGAAGAAAGATTTGAATACACCTTTCAGTGCCCTAAATGTCCTTTCCTCTCCACCTTAGGCTCTGTGTTAAAATCGGGGATGGCAGACTAAATTATCATCTGGGTTCTCCTCAACTTCTTTCTCTTCTTTCTTTTTATGTTTTTAGAGATGGAGTTCTCGCTATGTTGCCTAGGCTGGATTCAAACTCCAGGGCTTAAGCGATCCTCCTGCCTCAGCCTCCTTCCCGAGAAGCTAGAACTACAGGTGTGTGCCACCGCACCTGGCTTTCTCTTCAACTTTTTATTTTAAGAAGTTTCAAGTTCACTGACAAGCTGCCAGAACAGCGCAGTGAGCATTCTCCACCCACCACAGAGATCCAACGATTTAAGTGAACCAAGTGTGGCTTGTGAAGTACAGCATTTTCATCATGTTGTGAGATTTTACATGCAAAGTGACTCAAGTTTTTAAAATCTGTAACCCGAAAAGCCTCTGTACTAACAACTACTCCTGAAAAAAGCTCTGGTGTGGTCATGGCGTGTGTGCCAGAAGTCTCTCGGCTACCCCACCTCCACAGCTTCATTTCTCCAATTTACTTCCTCAAAGGTGGGTGGATTGTTTGAGGCCAGGAGTTCAAGACCAGCCTAGGCAACAGGGTGAGACCCCATCTCTACAAGAAAAATAAAATTACTTCCTCAAATATGACGCCAAAATTTACTAGGGCTTGCCTTTACATGTTGACATTTTATTAAACTATAACTTTCTGGTCCTAGTGTCCTGGTCCTGATAAAAGCTTCCAGGATATTTCACCGTTTAGTTTGCATCGTTTCCTATCTTTACAGATTTAATGACAAACACCATATCTACCTGAGCTTTTCCCAGTTTCCCGGTAGAAATTAGTCCTGGACTGCTTCAGTTTGTTCGTTTTTTCTGAGAGGCTCTCCCCAGCCTTGTCTGGGCC